CAGCGACGTGGAGGTCACATCTCGGGTCAAACCGCAATGGCACATGCATGTGTAGAACTCCTATGACCGTGGGGTCAGATCGTTCTTTGCACTCGAACTACACCCCAACCGAAGCACAATGGGACACAAAACTATGGGTAGGTATGAGGGTTGAGTGCGTGAGATGACTCGGTTTTTGTTGGGATTATGTTGTCCCGGTCGAGCAATATCCCACCGTAAAGGTTTAGCACAAGTACTTGCGTGCGAGCTGTGCAGCAAGGGTCCCACCTACCTTCTACCTCCCTTGATGCCACAGACTCAACTCACGCTAAAACTAAAGCTGATATGTGGCAGGAACACCAAAACAGTTTTCTTCTGTTTTTGGAAACCCACACATGGCAAACAGCCCGCAGAAGTTCGCATAAGCGAGCAGGCTCAGGCAGTTCCTGTTGTTTGTTCTTACGTAGCCAATACTTGAACTTAATTGTTTTGGGGTTTCCTCGTTTGTTAAGAACAATGAGGGTTAACCTTTTCATTGCTTGGTTCTTGCAGAAGTAAGATTTTGCTTGCACTGGGACGAGGTTTGGTGAATCTCAGTAGCGTGATTAATAGGTTTGGCATTTTGCAGAAGCCACCGGCGGGAGTCAGCCTTGCCTGTGTTCTCGTATAACAGTCAAGCGCCAAGGTTTTCGAAATGCCGGTGGCCTGCGCCCTGAAGATGTATCCGAATTCAGAGAAGCCTTGTAACCCATGTAGTGCTGACGGGGTAGTGTGTTTAGGACTCATACTGTTGTTAACAATAGGGTTTATAGGGTTTAGGCCTGAACCCCAAACTCTAAACCCTAACCCTAAACCCTGAACCCTAAACCTTAAACCCTAAACTAAACCCTAACCCCTAAACCCTAAACCCTAAACCCGAAACCCTAAACCCTAAACCCTTCTTTTGGTTACGCTGGGGAACCTTGCACCAGGCAGAGGTGTCTTCGGCCTCCCCGCGCAGCGCCACCACATGGAACAGTGAGAAGGAGGCCTATATCCCCTTCGGGAATGATTGTTTACATTTTTGTTGGGGTTAATAACGTGCTTTCACGAGATCCAGTGGGTTCCCCGGCATAGAATCTCTGATGAGGAAGCTCCTAAGTAGGGCTGCTGCCCTTCGCTTACTTGGCCAAAGTTGAACTTAAAGATAAAGTTAGGCCTTTCTTTTTCAGGTCAGTTCTAGTCATAGTTGCTCACAACCATAGTTGGGGTACGTACAACTCGGGACTCGCCATGAACCTTCAAGGATGCCCTAAAGAGGTCCTGAGCACTGGAGCCCCAATGAACCCCTTCAAAAAAGGAAGGGGCCTTCCCTCTCTTTTCCCGGATCAATACGTTTACAGGTCTACCCTCCCTAAACTCCTAAACCCTTGAAACCCCTGATCCCTCGACCCCAAGCAGCAGTTTTTACAAAGCCTGTGCTGCCAGCCACAAGCTCAAGGGCCCAGTGAGTCGCGAAGGAGCGGAAGCGGACAAAGACGAAGGCCCTGACAGATTTACTGTAGGGGTCGGAACAATTGCGAATAGTATTCCCTTATGGTCCCTTTATAAATATTCTATAGTAACCCCCACCCAAATAAAACCAATTCTACTTATTTTAAGGCCCCTGTAGTAGGGTCAGGGTTCCACTCTCTGACTTGTTTCCTTGCCCGCTTTGCCGGGGGCATGCCTCGTCCAAAAGACTGCACACTTTTGGCCAAACTTGCACGCCATTGTCTAAGTATACTTCTACTCTTCTTCGGATCCCGGGATGTTTGAAGCTGTTGCACTCAGCAGATCTTCCTTCAGCCGTTTCTGTCGCAGACTGGGACGCGCAGTTCAACATGACTGCAATATTCAGAACCTATAGAGATGTGTCAGGTGAAGGCCAAAGTTGCAGGCTAAGCTCACATGAGAACACCAACAGTCTCCAAATTTGAGACCTCTTGAACCCTTGTCCCTGAGCCCGCAGGCAGCGAGATCGCACCAGGGGTGGCGTTGGCCAAAGTCCCTCTCCCGGCTCTCACACCCGCTTGGAGTTTCTTCGGGGTCTGGGGGCCAGGAACGTTTTCTTGGGGGAACAAAGGAGGCAATTCCAAGTAGGGCAGAGACTTACGCTGAAAAAACATCTGCCTAACCCCTTACTATCTTATTAAAAGGGGCTGAAGCCTAAACCCTTGCAACAAGAAGGGCGCGGGTGCTTTACAGGGTTTAGGGTTTAGGGCTTGAGGTTTAGGATGGGCCCTTGGGAGCAGTAATTTTGAAACCCTCAGCCCTAAACCCTGAGAACCACACCAGTTGCAGCTGCCCACGAACTTCCAAGTGAGGCTTAGGGATGGGAGGTGGGCTCTAAGGCGACGTACGGTTCTTTTGGGGAGGATTTAGGGGCGCGTTAGGGGCGCGTCAGGGGCTTTGGGGGTTTCAGGGATTAGGGTTTTCGGGATTTGTTTTGTTTTGGGTTTGGGGTTTTAGGGATGCCGGCTACAGGGGGTTGCAACCTTTTTCGAGGTCAGGGTTTGCGGCTTATGGGGGTTGATGAGAACTTATGGGGTTTGCAGGACCCATGTAAGAGGCCCCAAGCCCTAAACCCTAAACCCTAAACCCTAAACCCTAATCCCCTTTCTCCCCTGCAACTTAGGTTCAAGGTTGAGGGTTTAGTAGGGATGCATTAAAGCTTGAAGCCCAACATCTAGCTGTACCGGCCAACACCTGAACATCTCTGTATCAGGTACGTTCTGCTCGCCACATGCCTGGTCTGCTATGCCTTTGGCATTACGAAGGCCGGCTTTCCCATTCACTCAAGGGTCTTTCGGGGACCCTAAATCCTAAACCCGTTGGAGGCAGAAAGCTACGGACTCCGCAGTGCAGTTGCGGTTTAGGTTGCACCCTTGCGAACTCAGGGTTTAGGCTTCAAGGGGGTACGGGTTTGGGGGTTTTGGGGTTTAGAGGTCCGGGTTTGGGGGGTTTAGGGGCTGAAGGGGTGTAGGGGTTACGTGGGCTTACACCTTCTAACTCTTCCCACCCAAGCCCTTCTGACTCTTCCCACCCAAAACCCACTGACTCTTCCCCCCCACACCCTACACCCCCCCAGCTTAGACTCCAGCTGCCGGAGACATCATCCAGGCTCTCTTCGTTGTCTCTTCGCCGGACTACGCTGGCACAGGGGAGCCCCCGGTCCTTCGGAATGCAGCAAGCACGGCTCCGGACGTAGTGAAGGGTTTATGGGCAGTTGTTTTGGGAACGGCCAGGGCTTGTAGGTACCCCAATCCTTTGAGCACCATGTGTAGGTGCTCTACATCTACATATATATATATATGTATCTTTACACCTACCCATGAACCCCAAGCACATATACAGCAAGCTTCCCTGACAATGAAGCAAGCCACTTTGAGCCATACTCTTGTAGAGAACAACATGGGCGACCACTGTGCCACGTAACAAGCCTGGCGGAGAGACAGAGAGGGAGGGAGGCAGAGAGAGAGAGAGAGAGAGAGTGAGGCAGAGAGAGTGCCCATTGTTTTGGGTTAGGGCGGTTAGGGTACGGTAGCACCTTCACCTCAGAGCGGCCTAAAGAGCAAGAATGACAAAACGAGAACCCTCCCGAAACTCGGGGTCGCCTGGAGCCCTCCTCTCTGAGCCCTTCGATCAGCAACTCGGGAAAGTGCAGCTTTGGGGGTATGGGGTTTGGTCACTCGGGGCGGTGGCGTTGACCCTCAACCCAACCCCCCTAAACCCCCAAAAGGAGGGAACTGGAGCGCGAGAGAGCTCGGAGAGGTGGAGCGCTCGAACCTCGAGCTCATCTCCTTCCTGTGGCCCGGCACGTTGCTGTTTTTTTTTTTTTTTTTTTTTGGGGCTGGGGGGGGGGGGGGGGGGGGGGGGGGGGGGGGGGGGGGAGGGTTGTTAGGTGGTGGGGGGAGTTGATTATGTTGTTTGGGTGGGGCTTTAGGGTTTCAGGGTTTTGGGGGTTCTTTGGGTTCTAGGGTTTTAGGGTCTACGGGTTTAGGGCTCAGGGCCGATCTCCTTCCTGTGGCCCCGCAAGTTAGGGAGTTCGGGGGTGTTCAGGGCTCTTAGGGATGTTAGAGTTGTTAGGATCTTTTAGGATTTTTAGGGTTTACAGGCTTTAGGGTTTGGGTTGTTTAGGGTTCTAGGGTTTAGGGTTTTTTTAGGGATGAGGGTCGGAGAATGTCCAGGACCCCCCAGTGGCTGCAGCCTCCTTCGGATCGATGTTTCATTGCTTGACAGCAACCTTCCAGTGCCCCCCTTAGCCCCCTTTTTTATGAGTAACGCTTAGAGAGGCTTCGGGTTTGTCGGGTGCTGTGCCTCTCAGCATGCAGAGGGGCCTAGGTAGCTAGCTCCATGAAGGCAGCCTGCCTTCAGAGAGCGCCAGATCTTGAAGCCTGCCTGTACACCCTGAACCCGAAAGCCTAAACCCTAAACCCTAAACCCTAAACCCTAAACCCCAAACCCCAAACCCTAAACCCTCCTTCGCCCGATCAGGTCTGCTCAGGGCATGCCAGCAGCCTCACTTGCTGTCGCCCAGCTTTCAGTTTAGGTTTGGAGTGTGGAGGGTTTAGGGTTTAGGGTTTAGGGTTTATGGTTTAGGGTTTAGGGTTTAGGGTTGGAGGGTTTAAGTCTCATGGGTTTCTGCATCAGGTTGAGGGCCGAAACCCTAAACCCAGCTTTTCACCCAAAGCCTGTAACCAAGCTGGGAGCTTTCAATTTGTGTGCCGACGCTCACGACAGCACGTTCCAGGGTTTCGGCTCAAGTGCTTTGAGTGCCAAACCGCCAAAGCTCTGTACCGCATGCCGATGTTGCTAGTGTTGCCGCGCTTGCTTTTTACTGGCGCGCTAGCCGCGGAGCATTTCGCTGAGGGCTCTGCAGTGCAATGGCCAGACGGGCCGTTACCGTCCATCGATGCAGCTGAGATGTTGGTTGAAACCAACGTGCCAGAGACCAACAACCGTGGCTGTTGCTTACGTGTTCCGTTGCAAGCTGTGCTGTCCTATCTGCTGTCAGGTTCCTTTGGCCAAAGTGCTGTGGTGTACTGGCGGCCTTTCGGGCATGCTTTTCCAAAATTGGGGGCAATGTAGGCAACAGGGACGACCTTGATGTAGACCTTGAAGCTGGGTTGCAAAGTTCCGTGCAGGAATGGTGGCCGGAGTTTGCAAGACCAAACCTCCTCCCCAGAATCAACACAACAGTTGGACACGCGGCTGACGAAGATTATTTCGCAGCAGTGATCCAACGCGCATGGCGAAAACTGCACGCCATAGACGTTCTTGGGAAACGCCTTCTGCGAGAAGGGAAGGCCGTGAAACAGTTCAAAGCTGCGGATCATGATGCCGATGAGCTGACGCAAGAGGCCTGGCCCGCAAGTCTCAAATCGCATGCCCTTCAGCATGCCCCTGCATTCATCCAAAGCGAGCCCGCGGCAGACATGAAGTATGAGACTCAGCGTTTGATCCTGGCTCGCTTGGTTGGCGATCTTGGGGATGCAGTACACACGGTTGAGGAGATGGAGCAATGCCCATCCATGATGTTCACAGCTTGCAAAGTAGTGGGTGGCCTTATGGGCAAGACCCATGTTTTGTCAACTGGGGAGTGCATCCTTGAGGTGGAAGGAGTCGGGGCTTACGAAGCATCTGGATCCAGTACCAGCCTTATGAAGACACTGGACATGGAGGCATCTCGAAAGGGGTACAAGGCCATCATTCTTCTGTCGACCCCGGCTGCTGTGAGGTTCTATTCACGTTTCGGTTACACGTGCACGGAGACCTGTTCGTTGAAGCCTGCGGATGCCGTTTACCAGGCCTTGCATTACCTGAGTGCAAATGCAATTTATCGCCATGCGCCACTGGTGAAGTTCTTGCGCTGAGCCGGAACAGCGCCGAGTGGGCCTAGCGCCCAGGCCGTTTGATCAGCTGTGGGCTGCTGGACATCTTGATGTTGGATAGCTTCCGTCCAGCCATATCGGTCTCAGCATCTTGCCGGCGGCCAAACATTGCCAAGCTTAAGTAACCGACGATGCGGTCTTTTCGGCGCTTGGGAACAAGCACCATGGGAGCTTACGGCATGCGGTCTGCTTTGCTGTAGCGGCGCTGTAGCGTCCTGCTCGACATCTCTCCAAGCCGCCCTAAGTACGACAGAGCTTTGAGCGAAAGCTGCAAGCCAGGGCCGTTTCCATGTGCTCAGCCACCACTGCTATTCACTGCTTGTGAGAAGGCTGGAAGATGGGATTTTGCCACACAGCTCCTGCGTCACACGCCAGTGTCAAAGATAGAGTCAGCCGCTGAGGCTCAGCAGAAAGTGCGATGGGCGCAGGCAAAGGGGTGACCCGAGGGCCGCGAGATGGCAGCTCGGGATTTGAGATGAGATCCTGGAAGTTTTCTGCCCAGGCCCCTCGTACACTGGAGCCCTGGAAACCTAGAAAGCCTGAACACCTTGACCATGTCAACCGCATCATGCCACGTCAAGCTGGATCACCAACGCACCTGCCCAGAAGCCATACGCGGGGTCGATGTAAACCCCCATTAAGGACTCTTAGTACAAGGGGGAACCTCCTAAGTGGCTGTAAATATGCGCACCCCGAAGTTGCAAAAGCGCCTCGAAGCCGTACCCAGGTCATGCTCTTCTCTCTGATCATCCCCCTCTTGAAGTTTGGGCTTTTTGGCTGGCACAGTTAAGGGCCAACTTGCAGGCAAAACGGGGGAGCTCACTCCAACAGAGCTTGGGGTTTAAGAGTCTAAGCCCTAGATTCGCCCTGGATACCCTACCCGCAGTGGCTTTTTGTTCTGAAGGTTTAGGGTTTATGGTTGGGGCGGGGGGTTGGGGGGGGCTGCGGGTTCTCGTACAATCTCCATGAAGCAAGAAGAAGGGCTTCCTATTTCGCCCCCAGGTAACTTGGGAACGGGGTTTTCGGAGCCTTCCGCCAAGGTTTATCGGGTTCAGCTTCTCAGGCATCCAAGTACGATTGTAAAAAGTTGCAACCTGCCCTTCAGAAAGCTGCGTTAGCTCAGAGCTCCATGTGCCTTATAGGGGGTTAACTGTTTAAGGTGTTAGATAGTGTTGAGGGTTTAGGGTTAGCTGGTGAGGAAACTTGAGGGTTGTCGCTCCAATTTTGACCCTCAGACGGCGTTGAAAGTTTTCTGCAAGCTAGGATGCCCATTGCGACACACATATTCCATTTGTCAGGGGCCAGTTTCCCGCCTCTAACCCGATGAACTAATAAGCCCTAGAAACCAACAAACCCCATCAACTGCAAAGTAACGCACTAACGCCTGTAAGCAGAGAAGCCCAACGTAGTTGAAAACCCGGCCAACCCTGCAAGGCCTACAAGCCCTGCGAACCCTCTGGGCCCTATCAACTCTGCGAACCCTTACAGACCCCGAAGCCCTATACGCCCGGTCTAAGCCTTAACAGCTCTTTAAGAAGAAAAGCCCTCTAAGCCTTTAAGAACCTTTAAAACCCTTTAAGCACTAAACATCCCGTTGAAAACCCTTTAAACGCCCTTTTTAAGGACCCCTCTGAAGAGAGCACAAAAACCGTTACAGAGCCCCTTGAAAGAGCCCCCTAGAAGCGGAGGATGGTCTTCCTGGTGCTGTGGAGGCCAAAGTCGCTTTCACCGCCCCAGCTGCACGGGCGCCCCGGCCCTCTCTAGCACAGCCCCCCTGAAAGAGCTTCAGTTGGGTTTCCAGGGTTTTTCAGGGGTTTTAGGGGTCTTCGGGTTTTAGGTTCTAGGGTTTTCGGGTTTAGGGTGTCGGGGGCTCGTCATGCCCACCTTGGGTTCTGCCCTCAACTTTAAAACCCTAAGCCTCTCCCCAAGGCCCTGCATGCCCGAAGGAAGGACCTGAAGCTCTCGACCCCCCCTAAAGGCCCCAGAGCCCGTGCCATCCCAATGGTTGTCTTTTAAATATTAGGGCGGTTCTAAAAAAACCTACTACCCTAAACCCCTAAACCCTAAACCCTAAGCCCTTATAAGCCCTAAGCCCTAAACCCTAAACCCCCATATGAGCCTCTTGAGCTTGATCTCCTCCTCATGCCTCCCTGCCCGCTCCTTGGCTCCGACTCCTGTAACCTTCTTTAGGTTTTAGGGTTTGAGCAGTTTGCAAGGGGTTTAGGGTTTAGGGTTTGAGCTGCCGGGTTTCGGGTATAGGGTGTTGAGCACCTCTGTCCCTCCTGGATAACTCAGTAAGCCACGATGTATGCCTAGTGTCTAGGGTGTCCTCTACCCCCAAACTTCCCAAACCCTGAAAGGCTCAAAGGGTTCAGGGTGTCGGCTTCTGCACCAGCAGAGATGAACAGACCCGACAAACCTACAAGACGTGAGTGTATATGGGTTCAGAGTTTAGAAGGAAGGCGCGAGAGGCACCTGAGTTAGGGCCCTGAACGCAGCTACTCCTACAGAAGTCCCTACTTAGATACGTACCGCACCCAAGAACTCCTCACTCTCAACCCTGAACCCCCAAGCCGCAACCTCAGGATCTGTCGCGCCCTTTGCGCGATATCTCCCTATCAGATGTGTGACATCTTTCTAGCAGCCCTGGCTGCAAAAGGGTTTAGGGTAAGGGTTTAGAGCTTAGGGTTTCGGGCTTACAGGGCTTGGCGTTTAGGATGGAGAGGGTGCCATGTTATCGGTTCTCGTGGGCGAGGGGGGCGGGGGGGAGTCGCATACCAGGACAGTCTTCAACATCGACTCCGGAGCGTTTCCAGCTGATAAGACACTGAACTGCCCGGTTGCTTCCAAGAGCCCTCAGCCCTCGATCCTGCTTTGCCTAGAAGAGCCGTCGACCAACCCTCTACGCAAGGCACGGGTAACTCGGGCAAGCCCTAACCTTGAAACCCTAAACGCCCTGCACCCTATGTATTCTAAATACCCTGTATACCTGCTAGACCCTATTTTCCTTAACCAATACCCAGTTTTTCGCTTTCTACCCAGTCATGGCAACCATTCTGAATTTGCTTCACCTCGACACATAACAACCGAAAGCACCAGTGGGGGGCTTTCCCAACACTAGCGTACCTAGTTTGGGAGTTCCTGTCATCAGTAATCTACGGTTTTGGGGGATTACACGGGGGAACCCTATCTTCGGACGAAAACGAAGTAAGGTGATGTTCATGCTATCCTATCTCAACATCGGCATGGCATCACACGATGCCGGCAACGGCTACGCCTGCGAGCTCTGCAGTGGTTTCACGACGTGGCTCGGACTTCAAAGGCTTTTTTTTTCCGAAGGTTTAGGGTTTCGGGTTTATGGGTGTTTATAGGGTTTGTAAGGTTTGTGGGGCTTTTGAGGCAGCGGCCTGTAAGCACCCATGAACCTGCAAGTTGAGTCACACCCTGCACCCCCAAAAGTTGAGGAACGAGGCTCCTAAAACGGTCAAACCTATAAACTATAAACCTTATGAACCCTACTATTGCCTGTAACTTTATAGAGTAAACCCTCAACCTTAACCCAGCAGATGCCCTTTCCAGGAGCCAGTTCGGGTGGTTACTGGTTGGCTCATGTGTGTTCGTGTGAGCGCGGATAGTTATGATTGCGGGGGAGTATAACGGCAACAATCAGTGAATCGGGTTTACAAGCTTTTTGTTGGAAATCTTGCAGCGCTATTTCAGCACCCACGATCCTGCCAGAAAGATCATTCGGCTTCTTCTAATTTCCCCGACCCATGAACCTTCAAGGAAGTCTCTGTCATCTCGGCTTCCAGAAAGCTTTCAGGGTGACTTCGAGGGTGAAGGAGGGGGGCAGTGGTTCAGAGCCCTGGGCTTAGGGCTGAGGGGAGGATCAGGATGCGGAGAGCGCGTGTGGTTCCTTTTTTTCCCCTAAACTATACGAGTAAGACAAGGTTTAGTTCTACATCAGGTATTTACATCGACCCCAGAATTACTTGATATCGACTTAGAACAAGATCCAAGTAGGGCTTGGCCAGAAAATCACGGCTTCCGGGGTGGGATTTCAAGCGTTTTCCGCCGCCACATGGAGCACTTAGCCTCTTTGGGGCTGCTGGGTAGAAAAGGCGTCTCTACCCCAGCTACAAGGGGCTGAAGTCCTGCAATCATGGCTCGGGCTTCTAGTTCTGCCTTCCCTAAACCCTAAACCCCCGAACCCCAAGCCCGAAACCCTCTCTGTCTCTGGATGTCTGCATATGGGTTTAGGGTTTAGGGTTTAGGGTTTAGGGTTCGCGCGGCCATGGCACGCTGCTTCCCTCGCTTTCATCGCCTCCACCTCCGGGTTGCGGCGGCCTCCGTGGCGGCGGGGGCCCTCCAAAGCCGCGAGCGAAAGGCAGTGCCTTGGGTCGTGAAAGGGGTTTGGCGGTTAGGGCTTAGGGTTTACCCCAAACCCCAAACCCTAAACCCTAAACCCTAAACCCTAAACCCTATTTGGCGGTTAGGGCTTGGGGTCAGGTCAGGGTGTCTTCTTGCGGAGCAGCTGAACATCTGCATGAGAGGATCGTGCCAGTCCCAGTTTCGAAAGAGCCCTTTGAAGATGGGAGTTCTCTATCACCCACCTGGCGGTGACGACAACAGGGGCAAACACCCAAACCATCTCCTCTGACGGTTTAGGGCTGTGCCCTTGAAGCAAAAACCGGATCTCATCTGACCTGGTGCCTCCAAATCCTCCCCTGAACAAGCCTCTCCATAAGTGGGATTGTATGGTTTAGGGAAGATCGGGGTATACCCTACGTAAACCTCAAACCCCAATCCCTAAACCCTGAACCCTATAAACCCTAAACTCTAAATCCTGATGGGCCCAGGGGTAGATGGGCTTAGGCGGGGGGTTTGTATCCCTGGTTGTATCCAATGACACCGCCCATTGTCCTGCACGTATGAACCAGGGTGTGCTTCAATTTTCTTTTTTGGTGGGTGTATATGGGGTTGCTTACGAATCTAGGCGAGTGTGTGTACTGGGTGTCCTTTTGGGGATGCCGGTGACAAAAATCCCACTTCATGCAGGGTGCTGGCTGCCTCAAGTCAACACATGCTGCCCTTGTAATGGTTGGGATATGGGGGGGTTTCCGAAAAATCCGGGTACCCCTTAGATACCCCAAAATACTATATAATCCTTTTGGAGGAACCCCCACGAAAGTGACCCCTATTTTCGTAAAGCCCCGCATGGGTGCCATGTATGGTTTCAGAGCCCCAAAAACGCTGGTACAGATACCGCGATACGGTTTTTCGTTGCAGTACATAGTGCAGAGGGCGCTTGCTCCCAACCTGAGGGGGTTATTAACCCTAAACCCTATAAACTCTATAAACCCTATAAGCCCTGTAAACCCTATAAACCTATAAACCCTACAAACCCTATAAAACCCTATCAAACCCTATAAACCCTAAACCCTAAACCCTCCCCGAGGTGCAGCCCACAGCTTGCGAGGGCTGGCATCCCGGGTACGCTTGGTCCCGTGGCTCGCGGCCTCTGGTTGCACCTCGTTGGGAGGGTGCTGCGGCGAAGGATGGGGAGCCTGCGTATTCCCGCAACCAGGTCGAACATCTGGATGTGTGTCATACATCCTGTTCCTATGTTTCAAAGAGTTTAAGGGCCCTTTGTTTTCTTTTGCGAAGATTGTTTCGAGGGCTTTCTGAGGCCAGGACGTGCAACGGCATGACGGCAGCCAGGGGACAGTCTGGGTGACCTATCGTGACGGCGTCTACGACGTCACGCGCTACCTGGAGAAGCATCCCGGTGGGAAGCTGATCCTCAGACGCCCAGTAGTACTGTACCCTTATTCCTTTTTCTTTCTTTTTTTTTTTGGGGGGGGGGGGGGGGGGGGGCCTTAGGTTCCCTTCTTATAAACCCCGCCCAAAAAGGGCACGCCCTAGGATCCTACAAGCAGCTGGTGGTCCGGTCGATGGGTGGTGGAAGTACTGGGCCCAGCACCACCTCTCCCCGGAAGTGGCGGCAGCCTTACTTTAAACAGCCAGTTGTGGAGCTGAACCATTTAAATGTTTTGGGGGGGGTTCCTAAAACTTTGTGGGAGTTTTGAGGAGGCAGTAAGTTTGGGGCCGTTTTTTTGTGTCATTCCTTGGTTATGGGTTATTCAAGCCAAAGGCAACCCTGGAATCTTTGCGGATCGGGCGGCTGAGCGACTACGAAGTGGAGGAGGACGAGGAGCGCTACGGCCACGGAGCCTGGGAGCCCGAGCAGACCGCGCCGGGCCGCGAGGAGTCGCGCCGAACCGGGATCGTCCTCAGCGAGATGCCCTTTCAGACGGAGACCTGCTCGGCGGAACTGGCCGAGTTCCTGACTCCGACTGGAAAGCTCTACGTGCGGAACCACGCGCCGGTGCCTCTTGTGGAGGAACCTTTGGAGCACCTCGTCACCTTTGCATCGCAGGAATCGCAGGACACGGAGGAAGTTGACCTCACCTTGGGCCAGCTCCAAGGCCGCTTCCGCAACCACCGCATCACCTCCATCCTGCAATGCACTGGGAACAGGGCCGGCGACAACATCGCCGCAAACGGCCCTGCCAGCAGCGGCTTCGTGGGGGGGGACAGCGAATACCTGGGCGCGGGGATGCTGGGAAACGGGTCATGGACTGGCCTACGCCTTGATGAGGTGCTCCGCGCGATGTTTCCATCGCTGAGCACTCTATCAGAAGCAGCCATCAGGGACTTGCATGTGACTTTGGAGGGGTTGGACGGCTACTACACCTCCATACCGTTGGGTCTTGCCTTGGACAACCGTGCAGACTGCCTGTTGGCCACGCACTTGAATGGCGAGGAGCTCACGCCCGATCATGGTTTTCCTGTACGGGCCCTCCTGCCTGGCATTGCTGGGGCACGAAACGTGAAGTGGCTCACAAAGGTCACCGTCGGGAAGGAGTCGGACGGCCCATGGACGTCCCATTTTTATCGTGGCGCTGGACGGTCTCATCCGATCTATGCTTTGCCCATGAACCTTGGGCATGTTTGGAAACATGGCTTTGACGGTTTTCGGGTACTTTAAGGCTAAGAAACAGCCTAAAGGAACTCCCTGATCCTTTCGCCACAGCCTGGGGCTTGGCTCGATGTCTCAGTGCCTGCGGTGGCTGTGCACGGCGTGGCCTATGCAGGTGGCGGGCAGCATCCGATTCGAGGTTATATGTTTAAGAAACCGAAATTCAGCTAAGGAGAACGAGGAAATGCTTGCTGTGTTAAGAAGCCGAAAGTCCCTAGAATGAGGAAATGTCCGTTTGTTTACTGTATAACTGGCCGGTCCTAATGGACTTCTTTGTTCCCTCTAGCCTGCAACCCAGGATTTGCGCGGTCGAGGTGTCCGCAGATCGGGGCAGGAGCTGGCAAAGCGCGACGTGCCGCTTCGCAGAAATCCCGGACGATGACCGCCAGGGGCCGTGTCGAAGTTGGGTGCGGTTTGAGTGCGTGGTGCAGCTGCCACCCTGCTGTTCGGGTGTGAGAGACTCCGGGAAGACAGCAGCTGCGCCCTTGACGGAAATTTGGTGCAGAGCCATTGATGAAGCTGGGAATGTTCAGCCCCGGTTCTCTGAGCCACATGGCGGCTACATGTACAGTGGGTACCATCAGGTACCTCTGGTCCGAACATTGAAGCAGCCGCCCCTGGCGACACCGGCTGAGTGAGGTGTGTGGCTTTTGCCCAAAGGTGGCAAGAGAAAGTTGAGAGCTTCGATTGCTTGGGAGTACGTAGCCTAAGGCTTCCTGAAGAAAAATATCTGCAGGCTTTTCGAAGATCTCAACCCTAGAGGGCCCTCCCCCAAGTATTCCTGGTAAAGGAGAGTGTGTGGATGGATGGACACGTTAAAGCCTACGTCCTTAAGGGGGAATCGTGGTGGTTCTGTCAATGCTTCACATGAAACCTCCCTACTTCAGGGTATCAACTCTTTTGAAACCCTGGCAACACCTCGGAAGCTCCCATTATGCTGTGCCAGCCACTGCGAGAGCCCAGCCGATGCTTGAAAACCCTAAACCCTAAACCCTAGACCCTAGACCCTAGACCCTAAACCCTAAACCCTAAACCCTAAACCCACAGGTTTTTCATCTACTGCGTCACTTCGGTGGTACTCGCTCAGATGTTGGAGGCCGAGATGGAGATCGATGCTTGGGGAGCAAGAAGTCGGGATTTAGGGTTCAGGGTAAAGGGTTTAGGGTTTAGGGTTTAGGGTTTAGGGTAAAGGGCTTAGGATTTAGGGTTTAGGGTTCAGGGTTCAGGGTAAAGGGCTTAGGGTTAGGGTTCAGGGTAAAGGGTTTTAGGGTCTGCAAAGCTTGTTGAAACCGTGGTTTTAGGGGCTGAGGGATTTGTAGATCCTCAAAGGTTAAAATGGTACCTTTCTTTAAAGGATAGGTATACGACTTAGGGGGTTCAGGGCTTATAGGGAATAGGGGCTCGGTGCCTCAGATTCTTTAAAGGGGCTCCTGTGACTCCCTACGAAGAACCCGGAAGTTCTGACGCATTGCTTGAGAAGCTTCTCAGGATTGGGGGGACTTAGGGTGTAGTTTAGTGCCTAAGTTAAACTAATTCTCTGCTCTCATTCTCCACTTCCTCCACGCTTTTCGAGTATAATTACAAGAAAAAAAGCAAGAAACGAGGGGGGTGGAACTTAGTTCAATTCTCCACTTCTCTCATCTTCAAATGGTGAGGCTGAGCCCCCTCCAACCCCTCACTTTGGATTATGGTTCTCGAATAATTCACTGCTCCAAGAAAAAAGCAAGAAACGAGGGGGTGGAATTTGGACTAGTTCTCTCTCATTCTCTACTTCTCTACTTCTCGAGTTGTACTTACAAGAAGCAGAGACAAGAAAGCAGAAGGGTGGAATTTAGATCAATTCTCTACTTCCCTGATTTTCAAATAGGGGGGCCTGCGCCCCCCCAACCTCCCCGCTTTATGTGATAGGCCCCCAGGCTTGCACGCTTTCTTTGTACCACCTTTGAGGGGCTGTGGGTGGATTTGAAAGCTGCTTCAGCGTTGAAACTCAGGGTTGACAGGTGTTTTTTTTCTTTCTGGGAGGTTTGAGTACAGAAACCCTGAGACCTGAACTTGATATTCAAGCCCAGAAGCCCCCATAAACAAGCATCAGAGATCCTGAAGCTCCTAATAAACAACCGCTTGCAATTGAAAAGTCCGGTAGACGCTGAACGTCCCAAAAGCCCTTTCCTAGAGCCCACTCAAGAGACACCCTTAAGAACCGTCAGCGCCCTATAAAAAAGGCATAAACCACAAACTGCCCAAACAAGAAAAACTTTGGAGGTTGCTCGTTATACAAAATCCCTTTTACGGACTGCAAGAAAGAAGGGGGAACATCCAAAACAAAGAGTTGGTTTGTGTCCCGGAGCCACAGACAGCAACTCCTCCGGAGAAGAGTTTTAGGGCTTAGGGTTTAGGGTTTAGGGTTTAGGGTTTAGGAGCCACAAGATAACTGTGCTGCTTCCATTTTTACGACTACCTAATTTGTTTGAATCCTTTCTAAGTTTCCCAACTTGGTTCTTTTAGTGTTTGTCCTCTGTTTGCCTATGGAAATTAGGGTTTAGGGTTTATATGGGTGGGTGGGGATGAGCATGGGGGAACCATGCCTCAGTCAAAACCCCTAGACCCTGAACTGAGAAGCGTCTCTGGCTTAGGGGTTTTTAGGGTTTAAGGCTCAAGAAGGGTTCTGCACCCCAGAACTTCAAACACTAAGCTCCGGAACCCAGGAGGCTGCTAGCTTCTCTGCGAACAGCGCCCCTGCGACCAGCGTGCGCGAAGTCTTCTCCGTGCCTTTGCAAGAGCCCGACTGATGGATAGGGTGAAGGGAATTTGGGTTCGGAGCTTTGGGGTTTGGGGTTTACATGGGTTTACGGTTTGGGGTAGATGGGGTAAACTTTGGGGTTGGGTTTAGGGCGGGGCGGAAGCTGCCACACTAAACCCTACGCAGCAGACCCGAAATCCTAGAAACTTAACCCTCTAAAGCCATGCAAGACGCTGAAGTCATCGACCTTAGGGGCCATCCATATCGCAAGGAACCACGAAGTGTGGGGGGGGGGGGGGGTCAGCATAACCTGATTCAGGCTCATGCTCAGGCCTTGTTTGGAGAGCATAGGCCCGTACACCTCCCCTTACGTTACATGTGGTTTCTGACGAAGCAACATTCGCAGGACGACTATTCTGAACCCTAAACCCGAAGCCCTAAATCCCCTGAGTTCTCTTTGGGGGTACATTGGCCCAGATATTGCCGCTGCACAGTCTCCGCCCCTGAAGGTTTAGGGTTGCATTTAGGCTTTAGGGTCACCCTCAGGGCTTCAGGGCTGTTACTGGGTAGGCCACCTTGGGATAGTTTGTATTTTCCCTTATTGGGTCTAGGAAGATCACGAGGGCTCTAGGGGCCATCCTGGTCTCGTGTGTGCTTCGGTTCTTATTTCGGGCATTTCGGGTCCTGATCAGAAGAGGTTCATTCGGGCCGAAGGTCATGTTTCTCAAATTTGTTCATCTTCTTTCCTGACACCAAAGAAAAGATTTCGGGCTATGGGGGGCAGCTGATGGGTAGTTACAGATACGGCTACACGCACGGTAGCCGCTTTCTTGCGGCTTTTGTAGCTACAACCTACGATTCAAGCAGCCCTAAACCCCACAAACCCCAAAGACCCCAAACCCTAAACCCCAAACCCCAAACCCTAAACCCTAAACCCCCTAGACCCTAAAGCGCTTCAAGTAGGGGCCACCCAAGAGGTGCGAAGCACACCGCGTGGGAAGACCGGCCAGACCCTGGATGAGGCCGCCCTTAAGACCTTAGAAGGCAATTTTCCGAACACTTGGCCCTATAAACCCTAAACCCTCAAACCCTCAAACCCTAAACCCCTAAACCCCTAAAACTTAAAACCCTAAAACCCTAAGACCCTAAGACCCCAACACCCTAAAACCCTAAACTCGAAGTTGCTTAGGGCACTCTACTGTTGGGGATTGGGATTGACGGTTTATGGGCTGGTTCAGGTCCAGGGCTTGAAGCTCCAGGCTTCGGGTTTGAGGGTTTAGGGTTTAGGGTTTAGGGTTGAGGATATAGGGTAACCTGAGGTGATCTGTGAGGATTTTTTGTTTACCGGTTAAACAGCAATCTTAACCTAAAAGTACCTTTAACAAAGGGGCAGGGAAATCTTAACAGGTATTCGTAAGCTTCCACCCTGAAACCGCTGCCGGCGAGACCCGCGCCAAGGCGGAAGGCGTGGCTTATCACGGTGAGCGCGTGCAGCTGCTTGCATCATTTTTAACAACCCTCACTGCAGCCAACGGTCTTTGGGCCTTATTTTGGGTTGTGGGTACCCAGATCTTCCAAAAGGTATTCTTCAAGGTCCAAGGCACACACCACAATTAAACCACTTTGGAAGATCTGGGTCAGTTTCAGGCATGACCTAACCTTAAACCTTATAAGCCCTATTCAAACACCAGGCCTTGCACTCTGGGACGGTGAGTAAAACCAGTAACCCTAGGCCTGAAAGCCCTGAAACCCAATTTAAGCGCAGAACCTGATGATGCCCTCCATGTAATCCTTCAAGCAAGGGTCCAGTCTGCATTTCAGCTACCCGCAGGGCTCAGGGTTTGCAGAGTTTACAGAGCTCTTTCGGGCTTTTAGGGTTTCGGGTTCAGGGTTTCTAGGCTTTTCGATTGGGACTCACGGTTTTGAGTTTTTGTTTGGAGAGGGGGCGGGGGGGGGGGGGGGCTTTGGGTAAGCCCGTGGCATGTGTTCTTGCTCTGTATTTCTCCTGATCTTCCAAAAAACCATGCATATGAAGGAAGAAGCCTCTCAGGGCTCCAGCCCGTCCTTTCGGCGATGTACCTTATGGCCTTGTGTAGTGCGTGATGATGACATCGAAGTAGGATTGATTTTCACGGAAGTCGCAGCAGACCCAGTGCAGGAGCCAGACCGCAGCCATCGCTTAATGATCATAAAACGTAACCTACACTGACACTCATAAGCCTCAAACCCTAAAACCCCAAACACTACAACCCTCAAAGCCTAATACCCTCAAACCCTCAAACCCTAAAACCTTAAAACCCTAGAACCCTAGAACCCTAAGACCCTAGAACCCTAGAACCCTAAAACCCTCAAACCCTCAAACCCTAAAACCCTAAAAGCCCTAAAACCCTAGAACCCCAAAACCCTAAAACCCCAAAACCCTAGAACCCTAGAACCCTAGAACCCTAAAACCCTAGAACCCAGAAACCCAAAAACCCTAAAACCCTAAAAAAAACCCTAAAAACCCTAAAACCCTAAAACCCTAAAACCCTAAAACCCTAAAACCCTAAAACCCTAAAACCCTAAAACCCTAAAACCCTAAAACCCAAAAACCCTAAAACCCTAAAACCCTAAAACCCTAACACCCTAAAACCCTAACACCCTAAACCCTAAAAAACCCTAGAACCCTAGAACCCTAGAACCCTAGAACCCTAGAACCCTAAACCCTAAACCCAGGTTTCGAATCATCGCGGCTCTCTGGCTTCTCTTCCTAGCAGCTGCGGCCGCGCCCTTCCCGCCGCTGTCACTTCAGGTCAGAGTAGCCGGCCTGGTGGTCGACAGGCCGGTGGTTTAGGGTTTAGGGTTTTAGGGTTTTGGGGTTTAGGGTTTAGGGTTTAGGGTTCTAGGGTTTTAGGGTTT